CCGGGCGGATGAGCCCTACAGAACCAGTGGTGTGAGGGGCGAAACAGGGAGGGTAGAGGGAGAGTGGGTAGGAAAGAGGGAACTGATTACAAGGAACTATATGTGACCTCCTCCCTGGGGGACGGACAACAGAAAAGAGGGTGAAAGGAGACATCGGACAGGGCAAGATCTGACAAAATAACAATTTATAAACTATCAAGGGCTCATGAGGGAGGTGGGAGCGGGGAGGGAGGGGAAAAATGAGGACCTAATGCCAGGAATTTAAGTGGAAAGAAAATGTTTTGAGAATAATGAGGGCAATAAATGTACAAATGCGCTTTACACAATTGATGTATGTATGGATTATGATAAGAGTTGTATGAGCCCCTAATAAAATGACAAAAAAAAAGAAAAGAAAAAAAATCAACAAAAACCAGAAGCTAAAATTCAGGGGATTCACATCATTTATCCAAGGTGGGGGGCACTGGTGGCATACTGGTTAAGTGTTGGGCTGCTCACCACAAGGTCAGTCGTTCCAAGCCCCCAACCGCTCCGTGGTAGGGAGAAAGTTGGGGTTCTCTACTCCCATCAAGAGTTACAGTCTACGAAACTCACCCGAGGCAGTTCCATCCTGTCCTACAGGGTTGCGATGAGTCAACATGGACTCAGTGGTAGTGAAATTGTTTGGTTTTCGTTTTATCTAAGGTGACACGTCTACGGAAGAGGACAGTTCAAAAGGAAGTCTCTTGACTTTCAAGGCAGGGGGCTTGCCCCAGTGCCAGAGAAGGAAAGGGAATAGTCGGAGAAGTGGAGGAAGGTCGTGGCATAGGCTCAGAGGCTAGAACAAGGACAGCAGCAAGTGGAGCCCACTGCGGGCCAAGCCGTTTCTGGAGGCGGGCCTTACCGGAGGTTGTGAGACTTCTTTTTTATTTCATTCCAGCACAGATTCATGGCTGCCGGCTCCAGGGGGCTGCAGGCACCGTTAAACAGCGTTGGGCTTAGGCGGGAAACCCTAGCACCATCCTGAGGAGGCACAGGGACAGTGGCAGCAGCTCTAACCTGAAAAACAGACATCCATGCACCCAGACCTCTGTGAGCTGGAGTTTGCCCCACCCTGGTCTGCGTCAAGCTTAGGGTGGAACGACTGTGAAAAGGGGTGAGAGGGGCTCTTTGGAGAGCTTTGAAATTTGTGTGTGTATGTCCAGAGGAGAGCAAACACCGAGTCTTCCAGGTTCACGGTCAGTCCCATAGGATTGCAGACTACTCTTATTACTCCACTTAGTATTGTCAATTCTGCCACTGACTGCTACCCAGATAACATCCTGGGAGTGCTTGCTTAGGTAAGAAGCTGCGCAGGATTCAGCCGTCCCTGACAATTGATAAGCAATTTCCCTCAAGGTAAGCTGCAGGTTCCTATCTCAGGATCCTGTAGTTCACTCAACCTCCTGCAGCCAGCGGTGGGGGTGGGGGGGTCCAGGGCAGGGAGCTGAGGGGTGGCCCCAGAAAGATTCAAGAGGAAACTGACCAGTCAGAGGGAGCTATCAGAAGTACATGTCCTACTTCCCAACTGGACCTAGCCCTGGATGCCCCTTCCTCCCTTCCCTGTTCGCATTGTTCATCACCACTCGGGCAGCCTGGAAAGAATCCTGGAGAGCACCACTCATCTTCCAGGTACCCAGCTCTCCAAAGTCCTCTGCCCAGAGCCGGCAGTTGAGAGGACAAGCCATGTTGCTGTTGGGTGCCATTGCATCAATTCTGACTCACGGTGACCATGGGAAGAGTAGACCTGTCCCATAGGCTTTTCTTGACTGTGATCTTTCTGGGAGCCAGTCGCAAGGTCTTTCTCCTATGGAGCCTTTAGGTAGTAGATTCAAACCGCCAGTTTTTCCGTTAACTGTAGGACACACCTGCTTGTTCCACCAGGGCTCTGGCGCCAGCCAAGGAGCCTACCAAAGTCTTGCCATAGATAGACCCTCAAAAGCATATTGCCCATCAACCGCTCTCCCTAGCCGCGGTAGGGACCTGGGGGGCCACTGTGGAGTTTGAGGAACTGGCACAGATGCCGAATCGCCCAATCCGTGTGCAGTAGGCAGTGGGGGGAAGAAGGTGGAAGAGGGAATCACCTGCTCACCTTCTTACGGAAAGAAAATCGGCCTGCTAGGGGTTGTCACCCCTCTAGTCATCCTCCCCCCCCCCAACCATACTTGCCTCCCACATGAGACTGCAGGCAATTGACGAAGTCAATTGTCCCATGAAAACTACCAGTTTCAGCTACAAAATCCGTAGGAAAGTGAAGGCATGAGAATTGCCAAGCTTAGGGGCTGTGCATGCCTGCCCGTCTGCCCGGACGATTGAGCCAGCTTCCCCTTCACCATCTGGAACAAAGGTTTGAACACAGTGGGACCCCGCCACCTGGCCCTACCTGTGCTGCCAGGGAGCTCTGTTGCAGGATGGGGCAGCTCCATGACTATCCCCCTGCCGGAGACCTCCTGTCCAGCCTGATGCCTGCGGGGCACAGGCAGTGTCCGACCAGGTTCTGAGCAAGCCCTCGCAGGAAGAGCAGGCAGGGCCGAGGCAGGCCAAGAGGCGGGAGCTGTCACCCTGTTTGTTTACTGACTCCCCAGGAATCTAGAGGGGGCGGCTATGTCAGGGTTTGGCCAGTGAATCAGAGCTTTGTCCCTGGGGAATTCCGTTCTCTCCCAATTGGGCCCGCCACACTGGGGCCAGGAGAGCGCTCCCAGGCTGGCAAGGACATGCAGGGGTGGGGCTAGGCATTCCAACGGGTTGAGGAGGGACATGCAGAGGGTCCCGTCTGCTGGTTACTTTTCCCTCTCTAGGGAAGACACCAAGGATTCACTCTGCCTCTAGGCCACCTCCCTCCCCTGAGATGGAGGAAAGGGTGGAACCACTTGGGGGAGAAACCTCTGATAAGCAATTACACCCAAGATCTGGCCACCGGGTGGGCTTGGGGAATCCACCTAGGTGTTGGTTAGTGTGCAACCACCGAGTCGAATAGTTGACTGTCGGAACCCACTCAGAGGCATTTTGAAAAGCAGGCTGGGAGAACCACTTCCGAGAGGTCCCAGCCCTTGAGAACTCTGTGGAACAGTAGTTCGCCTCTGCCTACATGGAGTCTTCCAGAGTCAGCGTTGGCTGGATGACAACCAACCACCACGGAGCAGCCCCCGAGGGCAGGAGGCAGGCATTCGGTACACCTGCGAGCAGAGGCATAGGAAGCTGGGGCAGCCGAAGCCCTCTGAATGTGATTATCCCCAGATGAGTGCAGGGGGCTGAAGATTCCGCAGGGCCTACTGTGTGAAGACCAGGGGCTGCTCTGTCCTTCCATTGGGAGGCAAAGAGGAAAGTAGAAGGGAGAACCATAGCCTCCTGGACTTGGCACTGCACTCTGAGGCCAAAGGGGGAAGGATGACCTAGAGACCTCCCCTTGGACTTCTGCAGACGAGACAGATGGGAAAGGAAATGGATGCCTGCAGCTCCATGCAAGGATCCAGTGCCAGCGAGGCTCCTGGCCCCTCCCCGTGCTGCCTTAGGCAGGGTGGAGAGGACAGTCCCATAAGTCACTGGCCTGAAGGGCAGGGCCCTTCCTGGAAGTGGCCACTCTTTTCCTTCTCTAATAGACTTGCCTGGTCAAAGGTTAACATTCCAGAACTGGGCCCCCACCCTCCAGCGCTGAGGGAAAACACTTCATTTTGACCAAAAAGGGTTCTGTTCCCATCCTCAGTTATCTCCCACAGAGTCTTCTGGGCTTGCCACAGTTCCACATTGTTTCCATGCTGAGGGCCACCTACAGGAATAGTTGGAACAGCTGCCTGACCCTTTCTGGGGTCTGAGGTGGAGCCAACTGTGGTGGGTGGTGGACGGCAGGCCACGAGAAGGGAGTGTCTCTGGTTCAGGGCTGCAACTTCTCGTCGGCTGGGACAAATGGACTCAAGCCAGACTTGCACAGTCTTCTGGACTTTGAGTGCCCTAGGGTTAGAAATAGCCCCCTGTGCGCCAACCACCACCAAGCTGTCCTGGCTCTGATGAGCCTTTGAATCCATCCAGTCTTCTTAGTCCTGACCCTACCCAGCACCCATATTGCTCTCCACCACCCCGTTCTCTCATTTTCTTTCCCCTGAAACTCACAAGCCCCAGCCTTGCGGAACCAGACAATGTTGTTGTTGTTGTTCTTAGGTGTCCTCCAGTTGATTGTGACTCATAGCAGCTCCACGTGACAGAATAGAGATGCCCCAGAGCTTGCAGTCGTGATGGAAACTGATTAGCAAGTCTTTTCCCCAAGGAGCCACCGGGTGGGTTTGAACCACCAGCCTTTAGGTTAGCAGCTGAGCAATAGACTGCCATGCCATTCAAGTTGCAAATAATGAAGAATATTTTTTTTCTTTTCCTTTTCCTATCATTTGTCTACTTTTGGATTGTGTAAAGTGTTTGTTTCTTAGACCCTTACTCCCCAAGGGAACGTCTAGCCATCTCTTGCACCTCTGAGACAAAATCAAGGCAGTGGGAAAAGAAGAGGAACTGAGAAGTGGCAGAAAGAAGGGGTGGGACTTTACCCTTCACAGTAACAAAATGAGGCCCATAGAAATCCTTGCCTAGGGGGGGAAGCTTGGTGTGGGGTAGGGAGTAGGCTGAGCCTTTTGGAGGCCCAAGCTTCTCGATCCCTTGACTCTATGATAGTCCCAATCTGGAGAAGGTGTAAACACACTGGGCACTCCAGCATTGACCCTGACTTTGAGAAGATGTAAGACCATAATTTCTCTCTAGTTAGATGTGGGCAAAAAGCTCAGGGGGAAAAGCCTATGGTTCTTAGAGTTCTCAAGATGTTTCCTTATTCTCTTGAAAACTGGCTCACCAGCACCCATACTCTCTATTCCTCCCTCCCTCTGTATTTAGTTGCCACCAGCACCCCCAGCAATGACTCAGCACTCTAGTTCTATCTGTGGGGCACTAAGAGATGCACTGCTTTTGCATGCCCCTATGGCCTTTGGGCCCTCAGGTATTATGGGGTCAACTCAAAAATATGCTATGCTTCTCCCTTTGCCAGTTAGCTTTTCTGTGAACCCTCCTCACTGTTATGAAAGGGGTTACTCTCAATCTTATGGCTTCTCATACATCCTCTAATTATGCCCCTGCCTATTCACCTCAGCAACATAACCCAGGCAAGCAGATACACCACCACCACCACCACCACCACCACCACTATCACCACCACTATCACCACTTCTAACCCTCCACCACTATCACCATCATCACTACCACCCCCCCACGACCCTCCCCACCTCCACCCCTACCCCCCACCCCCACTATCATCATCATCACCACCACCACCATCAACCCCACTATCATCATCATCTTCACAACCACCACCATCACCACCATCACCGTTCCACATCCTGGGGGAAAAGTGTGAGAGTAAAGGTGCGTATGAAGTTCATTGAATGCTTGCTGAGACTCCGCCAGGAGCTGTGAGAGAGACTAAGGGGCCGAGGGAAGGAAAGGGGGAACTGTAGAATGTGAGGTACGCCACAAGGAAGGCAAGGTAAGGCAGGTCCTATCCCATTCTAGGCCTTGCCTTGAAGCAGCAGTTGGAAAAGTTTGGAGTTGGAAGGCCCAATCCTGTGCCTATCAACAATGTCAAAATTCTTGGAGAGCCATGAAGATATTTTTACAAACAAATGAAATCACCATTATCTGAATAAGACCCTTTATTTTTTTTTTCAATTTTACTTCAAAGCCACATGGGCGTAGTGAACGAGCAGCATATGGCTCTTGAGCCACCATTTGCCGACTCCTGCCCTGAAGGATCGCCTTCACCTGGCACCGCCTTAGTGCTCAACACCTTGGGAAGCTCCCAGAACCCAGTTGTATAGAGTTTGGGAAGCTAAATAGAACCAGCTCCCATCAGCTATAGTGAGTCCTTGGGCTTGCCCAGACCAACAGCTTTCTTTGCCACATGGTCCACGTAGAATGCCTCCCGAGTGGTAAGACACGGACCAGAAGGCGGCCCCATGCTATCCCAATGAGTTCATGTATACAAAGCGTGTGGCTAAGCCTCAAGAAATACAAACACCTACAAGAACCCACTGATACTTTCCCCCACAGTTTTGCGCTTTTTGCTGTCAGTTTCTTACCTGAGGCGGGGGGCAGGCGCTCCTGAGGCTTCGTCTGTGATGGAACTGCTCGGCTGCCCGCCACTCATGACATCGTGGGAAGGTGTAAGGGCATCCCTGCATGACCATAGGTTGCATCAGAACAAAAGCTCATTGGGGGTGAGGATGGGCAGGTCACCCACCGTTGGGCATAGGCACCTGGAGGAATAGCAAGGAAGGATTCAGAAGTCACACCTAGAAAAGGTCTGTGAACTCAGCCCTTACTCAGTCACCTGTTACTGTTCTTCGGTGTCGTCGAGTTGGTTCCTACCCCACAGTGACCTTCTGCACAACAGAACAAAACATGGCCCGGTCCGGCGCCACCCTCACAATTGTTCCTGTGCCTGAGCCTGCTGTTGCAGCCAGTGTCAATCCATCTCCTTGATGGTCTTCCTCTTTTTTGTTGCCCCTCTGCTTTACCCAGTAGGATGTCCTTCTCCAGGGACTGGTCTCTCCTGACAATGTGTCCAACATATGTAAGACGAAATCTCCCCATCCTTGCATATAAGGAGCACTCTGGCTGTACTTCTTACAAGATAGGTCGGTTTGTCCCTTTAGCAGTCCTTGGAACCTTCAAGATTCGTCTCCAGCACCACAATTCCAATGTATCCATTCATCTTTGGTCTTCCTTATGCAACATGTATTTTTTGCATGCATATGAGGCAATGAAAAATACCATGGCATGGCACTCAGTGACTAGCTATGTAAATAAGGAGTCAAAGCTCACTGACCTACCCCAATAGCTTCCCCAAGCTGCCATGTATTGTTATTGTTCGTTGTGGTTATGTGCCCCCAAGTTGATTTTCCACGCGTAGTAACCCCGTGTGACAGAGTAGAACTGCCCTGAACAGTTTTCTAGACTATCATCCTGATGCAAGGAGATTCCCTAGGTTCTTTTCCCCTCAGAGCCAGTGGGTGGGTTCAGACCACCACCTTTTCCTTAGCAGTCGAGCGCTTAGTGCCACCCACCCACTGCCATCCAATAGATTTCCACTCCCAGTGACCCTGTGTAGAGTTTCTGAGGCTGTGAATCTACAGGCATAGCTCTATGGGAGCAGACAGCCTCATTTTTTCTCCTGGTGAGTTTGAACCATCAACCTGGAGGTTAGCAGTCCAACACTTAGCTGACAGTGCCACTGGAGTGCCTTGCTGCCACCAGGACACCCTACCTGACAGAAGGGACTGTATTTCATTACCCGCTCATCTAGCATTTGTTGTTTACCTATTGTGCATTGTGATAGCAACCCAGCGATACATAAGACCTTATTCTTCCTGTCTGAAATCTCACCACCTGGCAAGGTAGGGAAGGGAAAGGATGAATCACTTACATTGATCATTATTTGGTAAATGCTCCTGTGGAGGTTTGACCAGAAGACCCAGAGAACACACAGTGGGAACTAATTCATCCTGCCTGAGATTGTGCAACCATGTCCAAGAGACCGCATTTGAGTTACATCTTGAAGGATGAGTAGATGTTTGTATAAGCAGAGAGGAGGAAAAGGGCATTCCAGGAAAAGGGCACATCCCTCCCCCACCACTCGGCAAAGGCAAAGGCCACACAGAAAGGCAAGGCACATTCAGAGAGCAGTGAGTTCAGCATGGTAGAATTTAGGAGGCACTGAGATGGAAAAGGCATGGTGCCTGCTCCCGAGGAGTTCACCGCTTAATCCAGAAAGAATCACTCACTGCTAACGAGGCAATGCTGGCGGACTCACAGCGCCCCCCTTTGGATTGCCGAGACTATAACTGTTTACAGGAACAGAAAGCCCAGCCTTTCCCTTCCCACGGGCAAGTGCCGAACACATGGAGCAGGTCGCAGCTCAACTTGTAGCCTGTACCCCCCCAGGGCGCCTACGGAGAGAATCGACACGGGAAAAAAGAAAGGCCATGGAGTGTTGCTTGCATGAGCATGAAAAGTACTTCTGGAGCTTAGAAAAGGGACAAGTGAAGGAAAGATGAGTTCAACCTGGAAATATCGGGAAAGTTGGCCCTAGTGGGAATATGTCGTAAAAGAGAAATTGGATTGTCCTTGGGCAGAGATGATTTTTTAAAAAGAGAACATTCCAAACAGCTTGAAAAGAAAATGGATGATACGGTCAGTGTAACCAGAGCGCAAGGTGGGTGCCTTGTGAGGAGTAGTTGGAGATGAGGCTGAAAAATGAGACAGGGAGCCAGATTCTGTCATGCCCTGAATGCCAAGCAGAAGATCGTAGGTTTTATTTTGTGGACAGTGGAGAGGCGTTCAAGGTTTTTAGCAGAGGATCAACAGGATCAAATTTGCATTTCAGAGGTGTCTTTTAGCTTCCAGGTGGAGTGATTCTCTGGGGGATCCAATCTGCTAAGAAGTTGTTCAAATAGGCAAGCAGGCAGTTGCAGTGAGGATGGAGCGGAGAATGTGGCTGGGATATAATAGTGAAGAGGTGAAATGTACTAGGCTTGGCAATCAATTGAGTGCGAAAGAAAGGGAGCAGCGAAGGATTCAAAGCTTTCTAATTTAGGAACGTGGGTGGATGATGTTGCCCACAGAAAGGTAGGGCAGGAGGGAGAAGGAGCACATTTGCCATGGTAGGGGAAAGGGTAACATTGCCGAATCAGCTCTGCTTGAGCCATGTTCTGCTTCAGATGTCGGAAGCTAAGTTTAGAAAAGGAAAGATGGTGCAAATTTGAGATGGAGATGGGTTAGTAATGTACACAAGTGTGATGCGCGTGGGTGGCGAAGATGATGCTTGCAAGTGAGGAAGGCGATATGTTTTTTTAGTGCAACTCCTGATCCAATGAGAAGCAACTGAGCAGCCTTAATTCCCAGTGCTAACAATTAAAAAGCCATACTTTTTAGACTCTGATGCAGTGGTTTTCAACATTTTAGGTGTCAGGGCCCAGTCTTAAAATTAAAAAAGAAGAAAAAAATCTCACCTCACCCACTCACACCCATACTAGTAGCAATACTTTTATTACCTAAAGAGTGAGAAAGATTTAGACTGTTAAAGATTTGTGGATTCCTTGTGGTCAGCATGCCTCTTTCCTCCTCAGAAGTCCATGGTCCAAACACTGATGATGATTACAGATCATCCGGGCTCAAGCCCCTAGAGATTACATAGCTTTTCATCTCCAAAGAGATGCCGAAGAATGGCTGAAAAGATAGTCCCTTGCTGATCAGACACCAACATGAAAGAAGGAAATGAAAAATGAAGCATTGATATGAGCATCAATACAGGGGATCAATCTATACTGATCAAAGCTACAAAAGGTTTGCTTGAGTGCGTTTATGGTAATGGGGGAGGAACACCTCAGAAGAAGAGGGTGAGAATGATTGCCCACCTTGAACGCAATCAATGCCACTGAATTGGACACGGAGGAACAGTTGAACCAGTGTATGTTTGCTGGTGTATTGTCTCAAAAACAACAACCAACACAAAATAACATTTTTTTTAAGTTTGCTTGCAGACCTCTTTTGACATTTATTTTTATTTTTCCAGATAACAAAAATGCTACCTGTTCTTTAAGGAAAAACTGGAAAAATCCAAAGAGTAGGTCCATGAAAAATACAGACATTTACTTCGGCCAACGCATGATATGTCCCATTTGGTAGCCTGCTATATTTACTTGCCATTATACCACAATCATTACAGAATGGCATTAAATAAACTTCTAAAACATGATTTCTAAGGACTGTGTAAGTGATCGAGTACAGTGGTTGAGGGCATGGGCCTAGAGTCAAATACATACTATTCAATGCATTAGCAGTGTGGCCTCAGGCAAGTTAACCTCTCTGAGCCCCAGGGTCCTCATGTGCTAAAAGGGGATAATCATCCTTATTCAATTGTGCTAATAGATTACAGTTAATGATACGTTTAAATAACTAAGTAAGGCATCTGGCTCAATAGTTGTGAACTATAATCATTGTTCTAGAGCATTGCATTGAATGAGAATATGATCATTTATTTTACCAGTTAAATCATAGTTTTAGAACTCTTCTGCTTTGTAAATCACACTGCCATGAACATCCTTTGCATAGTTGCGCTTCTTGCCTTAGGATCATTCCTAGAAAGGGGTTTCCAGGATCAAGAGATCTGAACCACTTTCCAGCTTGTGATCCATACTTCTAAATTGCTCGAGCAAAAGGTTGTACCAATTTATATCCCCACCACCAGCGAATGCAAATGCGTTTCTCAGACCACTTGCCAACATTGAATATCCCTGGTTTTAAATGATCCTTGCCAATTTTATAAGTGAAAATGGCACCTTAAAGATCGGTTTGTCCCAGTGCTCCAAGATGTGAATGCAATGTACCGGCATGGAGTAGGGAACTAATGGAGAGGTCTGAGGGGCCGGCCCTAATCCCAACTACGTGGACACCTGCCCCTCCTCCCAAGAAGAGTTTATTTCAGAGGACAGCCCTGAAGCTGCAGCTCAGGGTGAGGGACATGTCTGATCAGAGCACACGGGAGCAAATGAAGGGGGAGGAAGAGAGAGTGGAGCACATTTTGGCCCATCAAGCCTTGAGGACGATATTCCCGCTCAGAACAGCCAATCCACAGAGAACACCATAAGGCTGGCCCTACTATGAGACATGACATCCCTCACTGACCCATAGTCCTACAGGGGACAACACTGGAGACAAGTGTGGGAATTGGGCCCGATCTGATCCCACCACACCGAGGCAAAACACTAAGGGCATGCAACAGGACAGCAAAGGGAACAGAGCAACAAAGTCCCCAGGGAATGCCAAAAATAGACTTTGAGTCCAGGGCATGGCACCCCATCAGACTCGACCGGAAAACACTCCTAAAGGCCAACAAACAGTCCTGGCTTTTCTTTGTTGTTGTTTTGTTTTCTTTTGTTGCTTTGTTTTGCTCTGTCTTGTTTTTGTGCATGTTATTATCTCCGCAGGTCTATCTAAATAAGATAGGCTGGATGAACAACCTGGAGGAGAAAACAACGTGACCAACGGCTCTAGGGGTACATGGGAGAGGGTGAGGTGGGGGGAAAGGTAGTGGTGTTAATAAGCTCAGGGACAAGGGAATAACAAGTGATTCACTTGGTGGTGAAGAGGGTATAGGAGGCCTGGTAGGGCGTGATCAAGGGTAATGTAACAGAGAGGAATTATTGAAACCCAAATGAAGGCTGAGCATGATTGTGGGACAAGAGGAAAGTCAAAG